GGTAAATTGATTCCAGCCCGGCAAGGCGAATCGAAAAGTCTCCCATTTAGTTCAATACCTGAGTACCTGAATTACGTGTGCTTGCGAATCGACCGTAATAATGTTGTTGCATCACTTCTATGTGCATTCACGTGATTACCGTGACATCAGACGGACCTTAAACTCAACACCAGGCCTTCGCAGCCACATACCATGCACATTAGTCGGTACATCACGGGCATTCCAAGAATGTGAACAGAATCGGGAAAAATCTCGCTATACAGTTAAAAGAGTGCCGCTGACCAAGAATAGGCTTCGGAGTCCTTTTGTCGCCCGTAAAAAGAGATCGAGTGAGGCCATTTTGACGAAAGGTGGGGATTTTTCGACGTTATGAAAAACTTTCTTTATTCTTCAGCTTCAGGTGTACGATACAGAATAACTGTTCCTTCAAAAACTAACAACCAAATATGCTGCGATTTCGTCAGAATATAAAGCCGGAATCTGTAGAAATAATGACTTAATAACACCCAAGCACATTACACAGAAGATACTTTTTGACGCTATATGTCAGAGGTGTAACAGACCGGCAAACCAGAACTCTGACCCATAGTTCGTGTAAAAATCTAAATCCAGCTTATTAAAGTAGCGCTCTAAGAAACGATTCTGCAAAATATTCAGATGGAAATATCTTTATTCAACTGTTAACTTCAATCTACAAATAATTTAGTCCAGGATTTTCAGAGTATTAATAGCAGTCCTTCTAAAAGGAGACATTAGCAAATGATTTTCGAAATGTTAGAATCGCGATGATCAAGCTTTACATCGACAATTTTTAAGGTCAATTTAAAATAATCATGATTTGCGTCACTATTTGCTAAACTCTAATCAATCATTGGAAGAAAAGCCAAGCCTCCCTCCCCCCCCCCCTCCAGGTTGAGAGCTAAATGGGATGTGTCGCTGGACGGGGTATGGTTTTTTACCTCACTGTCCTAAACAGCGTGGTGTATATAACTTCGTGTGAGTCAACAGAATATTGCCTGCACGAATGATTTGATTTGCAAGATGTTGTTTGTACTCCAAGTATACAAAAGAGATGACTATAACGTGAATTTGCTCTATTGCAATTGCCAATTGTATTTTGGGTTAACTGCAAACAGTACATAAGGGTTGACTAACTGATCTTAGCTCGAAGAAATCGGCCAATGAAAGTTATTCCCAATCCCCTGGTTAAGTGCTCGGTTATTACCTTTAATCAAAGATTCTATCTCTTTTTTGACCTCTGCCATCTGTGAGCACTGTATCACCTTGAAGAAGTGCGATTTTACTTGGCAGTTTGGGGTTAAAGTATTCATTGGCTTTAGTAAATAAAATTAAAAGCGAAAAAAAATAAGAAAAATTAATTTGTCCGCACAGTCTGCCTGGCCTGCAGTCTGCAAGGTCCGCGTTTTAACATGATCGTTTTCGTCACTAAAGTTCTGGCACAAAACCTCCGAGCACAGGAATGGAACAAAAAACGTAGAGCTTTGGATAGCTTGTTACACCCCCACTCCAAAAAGAAACTGATTTTAAAATTAAAGGATGCAACTGTAAATATGGAATTACGTAATATGTATACTAAAACAAATCTCTGCAGACTATACAGATTTAAATGCTTAACAAGATAAACAAAGAAGAAACTTACTGCAAATGCTACAAAGCTCACGCAGAAATCATAAATAGTCAGAACGGTATGGTACGAACTTTTGTGACTCCCGTCCGAGCGGCTGCGAAGGAGACTGAGTACTCAAATGTGCTTGTATTGGTATATCTAGCCGATTTTTTGAAAACCAACATAACGAAATTAGTAGTCATTTAAGCGAAAAGACGCCAAAAGGTAGGTTTCTTAAACCCGAAGAGCTGCAAAATCACAGTAACGAAGAAAAAGGAAAAGAGAAAAAGAAAGAGCTAGGAGAAGGAAAGGAGGAGAAGAGAAAAAAGCAATGGTTGCACTCTTAGTTTTCATAACAGCTACTTTGGCCGAAAAAAACTGTTAGATGCAAAAGGTCCATTTGGTGATAACGTTATCAAAAATCCGGCTAGATATATATGCAATAAATTATCTTCGAAATAGTAAATGTGCTTCACCTGTTACGTTCTCGATAGAGGTTATCTGTGGTTGATTGTCTAAAGCGATCGTAAAGTTAAAGCTATTTTAGGCGGTCACTTACTTGAGGTTCGACGGTATTCTTTTAGACCTACTTTTTGGGACCTGGGACACACTAGGTGACAAGTTGCAGCAACAAGTCGCGGCGACAGATCACTCCGTGTGTGCAGGTCCGACGACTAGTAGCAGCCAGACGTTGGGACGACACGTAGCAGCGACAAATCGCTTTGTGTGTGATGGAGAAAGTTTTGTGAAAATCTTGTCTCAGTCTGCAACAGAATTTTGTCCTCGCAACAGGTCGCTCAAATTCTGTCTGATTTGATTGAACATGTCGCTGCGACAAAGTTCTGTGGCAGAGACAAAGATTTTCACAACAATTCTCCAGTAAGGCAAGAAGCGATTTGCGCTGCGACGTGTGTTGCTGCAACTTTTCTCCTAGTGTGTACCAACCTTAAAAAGGGACTTAGAAGTCCTTTTTTTTTACTGGTTCAATCTATGTTTCCTTGTATACTACCCTATTTTTAAACTGGTAAATTTAATCAATTCTATTGTATGCTGTTCCATGAGTTACTTATCACAGATCTTTCCTCTTCAGTTGTTGTGGTCGTTATGGCAACGTTCTTAACCTTCGTAGTCACTACTTGTCACGTGACCCTCTTTATCGTTGACGCTGCGCAAGGTACTGTTGTCTTTGTTAAGGTTGCCATTCATCAACAACGCTGGATCCAGACCCTCTTTAATGGAAGATTTCAGTCGCGGGATTCGTTCAAGTGGTATGAAGAAGTTCGACATGTTAAACAAATCCACAAACACCTTGTAGCGATCACCAGTGAGACAATCGGATGTTTTAAGACTTAATTTATATTAAAAAGTGAATCTTAATGGCTAACTCTTACTAAAGAGGCCAATGAGTTGAAGTCACTCAGTTATGAACTACTGAACAAAGCGCTTCTTTCAGTGTAAGGATGGGCTACTTGTCTATGTTCTCTAATATGGTAGTTATAAGAAAGGGGCACCTTTTCGGTTAGTCTGCAAACAGGCTCCCAAGTGGAGCCTGTGTACAGATCCCCCTCCCCTCAGTAAAAATCGCAGAAGGGGGGGGGGGGGGGGGGGGTCTGTACACAGGCTACCCAAATGGAACGGGGCGACAAAGAAAATCGTCGAGGCCATTGGAAAAAACCAAGGCTCCAGGCCTAGCCTCGCTCGCCAGTTTCCTTGTCGCCCCGCTTCACTTGGGACCCTGTTCGCAAGTCAAAGACTCCTACTTCAAGCATACCTTCCATAAAGAAATGCAACTCCATGAGATGCAAAACCCGCTCCTTCATTAAAGACGGTATATCATCATGTACATTCACTGGCCAAACTCACCTCATGTAAACAGCGAAATTGGCACTGGATTTTTCCCCAAAATGTTACCTTTTTTGTGAGTGTAACTCTCTGTCAGGATTGGTCAGAATATCCAAAACGAGGCATCGCTGTAAAGATCTATCTTTGTTGACGTTGTTGATTACCATTTTATTACCTTAAAATGAAAGTTGAATGGGCTCAGGAAGGAAAATATGCATCGTTCCATAAGCAACAAAAACAACTTATAAAGTCGTGGAAGGGCTAAGAAGACTTAAATTGAATTATGAGGCACTGTTTCGCGCGAGAAAGACCTTGTGTTGCAATATAAGATAAAAAACTGAAGTCTTAAGGAAACTGAAAAAGGGCCAGAAATTAAAACAACGATTCATGGGGCCGGTCTGTTTCTTGAAAGTCCCGGTAACTTTTCGGGCCATGAGCTGTTTTATGTTTGCCGTGTTTGCATTCAAGATCAAAGTTTCAACAATTTTGAAAATGATACGGCAATAAAACTAACGAAGTTAGTTAACGAAGCAAAATTGCTCAGTTTATGAGCTAGAAACTGCGCTAGAACATTCCGGGCCTTTCGAGAAACGGGGCCTAAGCTAGTAAGCGTCCTTAGTAAAAAAGATATTAAGATGGTAAAATCCAAACATGTGCTGCGAACAAGGCTAGCGGCAACCTAACCTTTGAGTATCCTGTGGTTTATTGGGTGTCCTGTCGCTACATAGCCGTTACAATATCGATTTTTGTGTCAGGATGATTTTTAACAGAAATAATCCGGGGTATCATCATATCATAGGGCGCTTTCCACTTGTCAGAACTGACCGGCCAGACCTTTCCTGTCGTAATGGGAATTTCACTATTAATCAGAACTATCCAGCCAGATCAGTCAAAGCCTAAATAGTGTGTAGGAAGGACATGGTTTTTCAGCAAAAACCCTTGGAAAAAGCCGATTTCATTTGCTAACTAACTGGTCCGGCAATGGTCCGGCCAGCCAGTTCTGAAAAATGGAAAGCACCCTAATTTCAAAACGAAACATTCTTATTGCGCTAAGTTTCGCACATTGCGGCGTGCGCAAACTGTTTCAAATTATTTTCATATGACTGTAAACTAGTCACTAAAGACCCAAATCACAAGGATCTCGTGATTATAGGGAATACCTTGTAGTCCTGTATCCCACAACTATTAATTGCTTCAATAAAAGGGTCTATAATCAGCAAAATGTATACGTTACTTCATGGCTTCACAGATCATGTTTTACCGCCCAGCATGCAACGCGCGCACATTCCACGGAAGAAAACAATTTTTGACGCTGAAAATCTTACACGTGTGACACACAGAGCCGAATTCAAAAATAAGAACCAACCTTTGTATAAAAATCTACATCCAACTACAGGTGCACCCTTATGAAAGGTTCCACAAACTATTCAGATGAAAATATCTTTATTTATGTTTTCGCTAAAATCTACAAGAATGACTCTAATAAATCCGATGGACAAAAATCCAAGCCTCGCTAAAGAGAGCCAGTTATTCATAGTTGAACCTTGGTGACTTCACAGAGCTTCGGTAAGTTAAGAAGGGCGCGAGCTTTGCGGGATGCATCACGACCCTCATCTTGCATTAAGTGGACCTCTAGCCCTGTTTTACACTCCTTCAGGTTGCTAAGGTTTCGGGTTGTCATCTCTTTTCCAAGCTTTTGAATGAGCTCGAATCCAAAAATACCTGAGTAGAAGAGTGAGAAAGGAAAGCCCTTGAGAATTGTGCACTTATCTAATGTATTTAGTTACTTTTATGTAGTTTTCTAGTTAAAGCCTATGAGTTTGCTAGACTCTCGGCAAACAGATTGTAAGGTTCATATCGGGGGCGGTGGGGAGGGTGGGGGTTGTTTGGTGGTTCCCTTGTTAAGGTGGCGACGCTGTATGTCAGAAAATTAGAAATAAACCCCTATAAACTAGGCCAATCTAGAAAGGTAAATTGATACAATGTCTATAGCATACACATTTTTTTTGTTTTTTACGTATGTAACCTTTTTTCTCGCAAGATTATGAAAGCGGATGCCCGTGGAAAACTCCCACATAACAGGGGGTTACTGCCGTTTTTAATACGTCCTGAATTTATTGAAAAAGACCCAGTTGTTTGAAGCCGGTTAGCGGTAATTTTGGGTAAGTGGTCCGTCCTTAACTGCAAACAGATCATACGGCTTGCCATGGTAACAAACTGATCGTCTTTCGAACAACGCGACCCAGGACTATAGATGAGGGTTTAAAATTCATCCCCAGTTCTCTTGTTACAGTGTAAGTGCTCGGTTTAAGAATTACCTGTAATCAATGATTCTATCTCTCTGCTGACCTCTAGAACCTTTGAGCATTCGACTACCTTATAGAAGAAAAAAGTCTCCTGGGACGTTGACCCTTGTATCAGTTTCGTAGTGACTTCCTCTTGAAAACCAGCGAAAAAGAGATCTGGCCTGTGTCTTTCCAGCAACTTTCTAAGCTGCTTGTCTGTCATCTGAAGGTTAGGATTATAAATCCTCAGGTCGATGGATTCTCCAGTTGAAGCATCTGTACAAGTGAAACAGCATGCAACTCTTACCAGGTGAACTTTCAAGCGAAAACATGATATCTTCACATTTGAAAATAACATGTTATCTTCGCACGTGAAAAGATCACCTTCTTGGCTATGGCAAGATAACATATCGCGCCTTTAGAAGCAACAAAAAAAAATAATAATTGTAATAATGATGATAATAATAATAATAATAATAATAATAATAATAATAATAATAATAATAATAATAATAACAATAATAATAATAATAATAATAACAAAATGAATAGGCAAATTGATTAATTAAGTGAAATGGATAGGTAAAAAGCAAAAGGCAAAAGCTGGGGAGGGGGAAATCCAACACGTGTAAGACAGTAGTTAGCCTCCGTAGCAAACGTTTCCGCGCGAGTTCGTCGAGAAAAGTTGGGACGAGAGCAAAAAAAAGTTTTTTTTTGCTCCCGCTCTAACTTTCGCGCCATAACTCGATTGGAAACGCTTGCTACGCAGGCTAGACAGTAGTTTGCTGTCATAATTTGCAAGCTCCGATATACTTATGGCTGTCAAACAAGCTTTTGTTAAACACGTTGGGCCGCTCATTTCAACAAACTTAGACGGTGTTTAACATGGCGCGCCCTAAGCACTCTTTCATGGAGGTAACCCAAATATCTAACTTATTGGTACTTAAGGGGGCATTCTGGTCTTTATTGGCGAGTCTCTAATTTCGCGATTTTTTTATCATCCACGAAAAACGCGAAATTAATAAGTACCAAAAAGGTAAATATTTTTTGCTTTGAGCAGCATCCAGAATGCCAAGAAAGCAGTACAAATGTATGTTACAGGCAGATCAGTAGTTGGAAATAGAGCTAGTCGGAAGTCTGTTGGTAATGTTCGTGGAAAACGTGTATTTAGTGTATTAAACTAGACCCTTCGCGAAATTGAAGTTGTAACTGTATATAAAAAGGATAAAACTCATCTATTGCTACAAATTATAACTCATTGACATTAACTGACCTGCGATACTCCACAAAGAAAACACGGCCATGAATATCACAAGAATCTTCGAAGACATCGTGAAAGACTTCAGTAAAAAGGTTGAATTGCTTTCTTGAATATTCTTCCGTTGATTCCTCCTCGGTTGTGAAAAAAGGTTCAGTCTGCCCCGAAATTTATACACTAAGGTCATAAAATAATTCGATACCAGGTTTGCTTAAAGTTGTAGCTTTCGCTAGACTGAAAAATTGTCAGATACGTGCAGAACATTGCTGATGCGGATTGTTGTTCATCTGAAAAGGAAATGTTTCTCCAAGTTTCCTGTTATACTTAGGCACGTTTTGGACCTGTGAGACCGAAATTTTTCCAGTGCAAGCTACTGTAGCGTGGCTTTGCCACCAGGTCAGTCCGGCCTCAGCGTGACTTTTCTTACTTGCAACACTTGGAGTCTTGACTGTTGCTTCATCAGTATGAAATATTTAATACAGACTGAA